GTACCAATGGGATGGATGGATGGATGGGATGGAGGGATGGAGGGATGGAGGGATGGAGGGATGGAGGGATGGAGGGATCGATGGATCGATGGATGGATCGATGGTTGTTTCATCAGACATTTTGATGAAGCATTGAAGCGAACACACCCTCCTTCGATTTCCTGTGGAATACAGCAGTGTACGTGATTAGCGCTCAAAAAATACTAATCGATTTACCTCAATTTCAGCCCATTTAGTGTTGAAGAACTTAATTGTGGCTGAGCTAATTTTCTCAAGAAGCTTGACCTTAAGATCCCTGATTCGCTTCATGTCGTTCCATATTTCAATCAGACGATAATTAGTCTGAGTGATATCTTCCAGTGTATTTTTAGCTGTTGGGTAGATAAAAAAGTGTTTAAGTGTGGAAGAAATGTACTATACAGATAGATATCTACTCGATCCATCCCATCCCATTCCATACTTATCCCACCGAATTCCATAACATCTCATCCCATTCCATCCCGTTCCATCCCATCCCATCCAATTTCATCCCATCCCATCCCATCCCATCCCATCCCATCCCATCCCATCCCATGGTTAATTTCTTATACATATCTGTGCTGTTTCAACGTCTTTTTCAGTCATTCTCCTATTCCACCCTAGACCTGTGCATGCATCTATCCTCTGTAATTTAATTGTTTAAACCTCTTCCAGACTATTGCAAAGTGTTTAAAATTTTCACAACTTAAATAGTTTTATTTGGCAAACCTGTTAGTGCTAAGAAGTCCACTTTAGGAAACATGGGCTTGAGTCTCTTCTGGACTGCCTTGAAATCTTCTATGTAAGTACATATTTCTGGGTAGGGTCCACAGCATGTCGCAAGCTTGAGATAAACTTCGAAGCCAATACCACCAAGGGAGATGGCAACACCGGCACCTAGAGCAACAGCTGCTGCCCATCCTTGATTTAAAGGAAAGGAGATTAGCAAAGCAAAGCAAAGCAAAGCAAAGCAAAGCACATCAGACTATAGGGGAGCATAATAACTTATGCAACTTACTTTTTTGTCGATTGACAACTTCAACACCAGTACCGTTTTCACTCCTCTTATTTTCAAAACCTTTGAAATCTGCCAAACAAGAAAAAATAAAGAACTATGTTCGTATAAACGGCACTCACGTCTAAGTTCCACCAGGCTATAAGACGCAAACGCAATGTGTGCAAGCGCAATCCAAACAGGGACCCCAAGCAGACCTAGAATGTCGTTGTGGCTTATTCAGCTTAAACAAGACGCGAACCGTTTATACGAACAGTAAGACACGTTTGTATTTATGGATGGATATTTCGCCTCTTTTTTAGGAAGCGTCTTATTGTCCTCCTTATAAATGGCCCTATTGTTACAACATTGTTTTACGAAGAGAAAATGCCTGGTTCTAACGTCAAGGTTCTGACAAAAAGCCAAATGCTTACCTTCGCCATATGGTAGTGGCTCGCTGAACTTTGGCTCTTGAAATTCAGGTTGTTTAAGAGCATCCGCTGACCATCGATGCTGCGAACGCTCATAAAGTCGATACGCTGAACCAAACTCGTGACCAAGGGTTAAAAAAATCAGAAACAGTGAATACTTGACTGAAGTATTTGGCCTCATCTTGACGCACCACCTATACACAAAAGTATATCAACATTCAGTGTGTTTTCTGATTGGTTAATTACAAGCCACCTAGTGATCTTCAGGGGTAGAGTAGGTTAGCAAAAATTGTTTTCAAAAACACTACCCTCTGCTTTCGGTGATCTAAATCAGAGGGCACCGCTAACTCTCAGAACGCATCCTGAAACAACGGCTTTGGGCTGATCTAAGTCAGCGAGGGCACGGCTAACTCACAGATTGAACCCTGAAACGTTAACAACCTCTGGGCTGATCTAAGTCAGGGCATGGCTAACTCACAGATAGAACCCTGAAACAACCTCTGGGCTGATCTAAGTCAGGGCATGGCTAA